ATTTTTGTGAGAAGTCAATAAGATAAAGCGTGTATAGTACATAGCAAGAAGCCTTAGCACATAACAAGCCTTAGCTAAATGTTAGTTCCTTCTCTGAAAGACACAGGGATATACATGCATACAGGCTTAAATATACAAATATATATATCCTATATATATGCGTAAGCCTCCGCGGACAGTTCTGTAACCTGCAGCCATGCAACAGGTATACTGAGAAAGGATCTGGGGGTCAGCAGCCTCACCCTCTTCATAATTTCCTGGCTATGGCTGCCATAAGACTTGCTAGCATAAATGCTCAGCATTTATTGACTGTTCCTCCTCTATATTTTTAGCAGTTACCATCAGTAGTTTCCATCAGCTACGCAAAGAGATTTCCAAATTGAAATAATTATTGTTTTGAATGAGCTAAGTCAGTTCACAAGGAAGATCAACCTAAAAAGCATTTTAAACAAATGGACTCATAGACTAAGCTTAAAAGGAGCTTTAGAGTGGATCCACGTTACAACCTTATTTAAGAAAAGCACAGAGAGATGAGGTAGCCTGATCAAACTGGCACAGTTAGCAACTAGTAAAATTCCCAGATGGCCATAGCAGCTCCTGATAGCTTTCCAGGCTGAGCATCTCATGTTGCACGTTGGATGAACAATACAAGGCAGAGAAAAGCTAAGGGAAAAGTCACTGGGAACATTACCCCAGTTTAATGCCAGTAAGATCACAGAAACCTATAATAACACATTATAATTGCAAAATATGGAGTGAAATGCCAACAGTAAATTTTACCATCCTAATTCCATAACTAATTAGCTTTTACTTAACTAAAAGGTAAAATATGTTTTTACCTTTTTTCCATATGTTTAAAATAAGGTCTTTTACTTTTTTTCCGTATGTTTAAAATAAGGTCTTAATACCTGCCTTAAAGCCTTGTTGTGAACAGTATCTCTGCTGGAGTATTCTTGCCAAAATCCATAACCTCAGTCTAATCATGAGAAAACATCAGACAAACCCAAATTGAGAGACATTCTATAAAATAATTGACCAATTCTCTTCAAAAAGGCCAAGGTCATGAAAGACTGAGGAATTGCCATAGATCGGAGGAGACGTGACAACTAAATGCAACATGGGATCCCAGATTTCATCATAAACCAGGAGACTAGTGGAAAAACTGGTGAAATTTGAAATTGTCCCAAGTTAATTTCTTGGCTTTGATAATTGTATTGTATTGTGCAAGAAGCTGCTTGGTGAAGGGTATACAGGAATACTCTGTACTAATTTTGCAATTTTGTGTATCTCAAATTATTTTAAAATTAAAAAAATGCTAAAAATAAGAGAGCAATTTTTTAAAAAGCCTTGTTGTGAGAACTAAATACAAGATAAAAAATTTAATACATTGCCTATTTTTTTGCAGGCACAATTCCTTCATTGAAAGGCTACATTTAGCGGCCATAAACAGTAGAAACAGTATGTTAATACTGGCCAAACCCAGGTTGGGACAGCTAATAATGAAGTGTGTTGTCCAACTGTGATAAAAATGTGGACACTTTACACTGCACCTGAATGATTACAAATATTCTTGCAAAAGTCTTCTAATCATCAATATTTCACTCTTTGCACAATACAATCATGAGTTAGTGCTTAAAGAAGTCTGGATTCTGTGTTTGGTCAATGATGACAGGCTTAAATTTACCTAACGCCATTATCGTTTAAACATAACACGTCAGATCTTCATTCCTCTGACTCTGTGACTACTCTCTCGTCTTGTCAGACTTCAACGGTTTTCTGTGAGGTAACACCTGGCAAAATAAATCACTTTCATATAAATTGTAGACATCTCATAATGAGTATGCCTTGATACACTTTTATTTCTGTTTTCTCTCTAGTTTTTATTTTAAACTTGATTCTACATTTAGCCTTGAGGGGCAAAAGCCTGCTCTTGAGATAACTAAAGGTCCCCAATGCCAAGCTTATTACACAAGATTTTGCTTTTATAAGGAAACATTAAAACAACCTAGGAATTGCATTACTCTAGCAAAGTACTGCTGTGGTTCATATGCTTTTGCTTTTCACCTCAGGGAGTAACTGGTGCAGCCAAAACTAATAACAAGCAAATTGCTATTTGTTAGTTTTTGATAGAATCACTCATGTGATAAATATACATTTCTTTCCACCCCTGCAAAATAATTTTTGTTTTCTACAAAGGTTATGAGATATCATAAAAATGTCTAATGCATCTGGTTTAAGGATCCAATTCTTCCTTCACATATTTCTGCATCTGTTCACAAAATCTCTTTGACTTCAAAGGAAGCTTTTCAAGGGAAAAAGAAGATACATACAGGAAAAATGGCCATAAATTTTTAGTTTTCCAAGCCATTTTAATAACTTTTCTAAGGCCATTTTAATAACAGCACTGTGGGGCAAGTAAATATCTCTCTCAGAGAGCTACAATATCACAGATGATATAATGACTATATATTTATCTGAAGATTAATGTTTTAAAACTTTATTCTGGGTCTGAAAGTGATATATCTTCAACTTAGAACATGTGAAAAATACAGCAAGCTTAAAGAAGAAAACTTAAATCACTTTTAATCCACTATTCAGGAAAACCAAAGAGAAACAAAAAATGTTAAGAATAGTTGTTTCCTTCCAGTCTTTTTTTCTCTTGTACATATATTTATATAAATATTTATTTGCAAATATAATATTATAATTACACTATGAATGCAATTTTATATCTTTTCTCAATTGGTCTTTCAAAAGACTGCACTAGTCTTTCAAACCACCATTTTTAACGACTGAAAATTATAGGGGGTGGGGGAGGGATAAATTAGGAGTTTGGGATTGCAGATACAAACTACTATATATAAAATAGATAAACAACAGGGTCCTATTGTGTAGCACACAGCACTATACTCAATATTTTATAATCTATAAGGGAAAAGAATATGAAAAGAATATAAATACATATATAACTGAATCACTTTGCTGTACACCAGAAACTAACACAACATTGTAAATCAACTATACTTCAATAAAAAAATTTTTAATTTATATGTAGAACTATGCTTTAAGAAGTGCTCTTGCTTACATTTAATTCATATTCTACTCAAAGCTAAATTAAAGGTTTTGAAACACTAATCTGTTCTGGAAATTCTACAACTTGAGACCATCTAGATTAACAGTTGATTAAGATAACTGTATTCATAAATGCCACTGAAACAACAGTAGAGATTTAAGAATTCTATTCTTTAGCATTTATAATGATTTAATGCTCTAAACTTCCTAGGACAAGCATTAGTGGGCTGTAGTTCGTTTTTCTTTTCTCTTTGATTCTCTACTTCTTATGACATCCTCAACTCTTGAGTTTGTTACAAGAGGAAGTTTGGGTCTAAGACTTAGTTACTTTGTGGTCGGGGGGGACGGGGGGGGGGGGGGGGGCTTCCCTTTGTTCTACAGCAGAAACTAACACAACATTGTAAAGCAATTATACTCCAATAAAAAAAAAATAAGACTTAGTTACTCTGAATCCACAGGTTCTAATATGCTACTATTAGCCATAAATATAATAACCAATTCTCCTTCTGTAGAATCAAACCTCAAACTTCAAAGAGAGGAGTATTTGATGTATTTATCTAATTTTGAATCAATTTTTACCTAACAATGCTGCCTGAAATTTCAAACAACATTTAAATAGTTGTTTTGACAAATAACTTTCCAGCGTAATATCCTCTATCCTTACAAGAATCTTGTGAGGCCCATATCAGTGAAGAACACTTAGGTACAGAAAGTTAAGTAATTTATGGGATGATTAAAATAACAAGTTGAACTTAAATCTTGTTTTTCATAATTAATCTCACTGCTTTACTTTGGCTTCACAATCATGGAGCCATAGATTTTCCAAAGCTTGAAGGAACAGTCAGTCCAACCCTTCCTCCACCCATTTTGCTAAAGAAAATAAGTCCAGCGAGATTAAATGACTTGTCATGCCACACAGCTAGCAAGTGGCAGACAAATCCCTTGACTTCTAGTTTCCTTTCAGTCTAGTGCTCTAATACACCAGTTACCATACAAAATGCTCCTCACACTTACACATTATGACAATGAATATGCCAGGATGCCAGGAAATCACCTAACAGTCACAGAATCTCTAAGATCTCCCTAGTTCCCAAGAGCTATCTCCCAAGAGATGTAAGGCAAAGTGCCTGCCACTGAGATTGCACTTGCAAGACGTTTAGTAAATGTCTGGGTGAAGTATATATATATGTTCGTTTGTTTTGTTTTTCCCTTTTGCTATGAGGGTAAAATTCTAAATACTGACGGGACGGGTTAAAGGCCGTGTCCATGCTCTCAACACTACAGAGTAATGGTAACAGGAGTGCTGCCAGGACAGGACGACGCCTTTGGCAGCTTACTGAAATTCTTTCATAGAACCTCCTAGATACAGGTCTACTTCGCGGCAATGAGGAGAAATCAGAGTGGAAGAGGCACTGACACTTGCTCCAGTACCGCACTGCAAGACGGTGCACCTACTTAAATGGGTCGATTCCTAACGAGACAGCTTCTCTAATTTCTCCGCTGGACCCTTGGCTTGCTATTAGGGAAAGGAGAGTAAAAGCAGCAAGGGGATCAAGACAAGGTGCGCAGTGCCGGAGGGACCGGACCTCTAGTATCTTATAACTTCACACACTGCTGGGCTTCCCGCGTTGCCGGGCAAGAGCTGAGGTGCGTCGCTCTCAGGGCGCTCAGAGGGGGAGGGGCTCAGACTAAGTGGGTAAACGGCGGCGCGTTCCTCCCACCAGGGGCGCGTTACGTCACCGCGAATCCTTGCAACGTCGCCACGCTCCGAGTAGGCAGGCAGTCTTAGGCAAATCGACCTTAGGAACCGAAGGGTTTGGTAGTCTCCAGGGGAAACGGGAAGGGAGAAGCAAACGGAGGGAGGAAAGAGGGATGAGAAGGACCTAGCGGGATGGGAAACTAGTGGAAGAAGGGCCAGCTTCGGTTACCTGGGGAGCGGGAGCAGCTTCGGGTCCTTGATGAAGTGCCCGGATGAAGTTCCAGCACTCACGCGCCTTCCGCATTGAGTGCAGCGCCATCTTGAGAAGGGCGGAGCCGTCTAGTCTTGAGTGACATCTGTTCAGAGAGGAAGTCCCAGATTCGTAGGGTTTTTGCTTGTTGCGCATGCGCACTTGCCCTCGGGGGGGCGGGCCTTTGTGCCAGTGCCTGGGGGCGTCCGGTCTTCGCAGAGCAGGTCGCGGGGTCAGGAACTGGGTGGGGCTTGGTTTTAGCCTTTGCCCTGGAGGCCTAATATTTGCGCAGGTTTCGTGAAGGGATAGTCTCCTGCGAGGATATTAGTAGCAGTGTTTTTTAAACTGGAAGAAAGTCAAGTGAGTTGCCTTTCGGATTCTGGCCGTCCTGAGGCAAGCTTTTAAGAAGTTTCTAGGAGTGGGACCTCCCCAATCCTGTTAGAGGGCAGTAAGTGGTCTTTTGAGACCTATGTGGCCTCATTAATGCATTCTATCTGCAAAACGTTTGTTGAACCCTGCCATCTGCTAGGTACTGAAGGTGCAAAGAAAGATATATCTTGCCTTCAAGTAGTGCAAGGGCTAATGGGATAGCAGATACATAAATGAAGCTCTGTTTGAGGTGTTAAAGAAGCAAATGCGGAGATTGGGGAGGTGGGGTGGGTATGACTGTGGTGCTTCAGCCTGGTCCAAGGAAGGCTTCAGAAAGAAGATGACACTTGATAGAAGAAACTGTTCCGAGTTTTGCCTTAAATTACGAGAAGAGTTAACATGGTACTCCTACTTCTCTGTTAGTGCACCCAAAAATCTATCAGTAAAAATATAATTGGGAGAGATTCGTCAGAATTCCTTTATGTGTTTTGTTGTATTTATTCATTAGGAAGAGGTAGGAGATAAATGCGGTAAGGATGCTGGTACTCTTAATGGAACTGAAATCTAACAAGGTAAGACAAAACTTATCAATTTATCAATTAAAAACATACAGTAAAAATCTCTTAAGAGTGGCACATAGTACTGGTGAAGTTCAAGCATAAGTGATGTAATACAGAAATAAGCAGGGAAGGAATTGTAGGAATGAGGACAAAACTAACGATAAAACTAAGGAAATCACATGCCATTCTTCAACAAAACTAATCAGTTTGGTTTTGTCTCCTTTAAATTTGAGTTGCTTGTATTACTTCCAAATATGACACCAATTAGATAAGTCTGGACCTCAGGAGAGAGGTCTGAGCTACAAAACAGATGGTAACTGAATCCAAGGAAATCTTTTGAGACTACAAGGTACAGTTTGTGGAATAAAGGTAGTCGGATGATGGAAATTGAAAGGAGTAGCCAAATAATGTTTAAAAGCCCCCCAAATGAGGTATTACTGAAATCCAGGAAAGAGACCCTGCCAGTGGCAGTGATCTTTATAAAGGTACAAGGTATCTCTTGTAAACATGCAGTTTTATAAATGCCTAAATGTTTTGTACTCATATATACAGCAAAGCATTAAAATACAGTTTTTTACAGATATATTAATTAGATTTGATGACCCTAGGAATTAGCAAGATTAGACTTCTGACATCCTCAGCCACCTGGATTATAAGATTAAGCCTAGCAATGATATGAGGGTTTCAGCAGAAAGCTGTCACAGGGCCTGCCCACTTTATTTACTCAAGCAGTAAGTTTAGTCTTTTATCTCCCGAGGACTCACATACATGACTGATAATATTTTCATGGGAGATATTTCCAAGACACTCCCATTGAAGAAGGTATATCAGGACAGCTGTGTGTAATCACTTCAATATCTATATTTTTAAAAGTAAGTTATTTTTACAGGGACCTACTGTATAGCACAGGGAACTATACTCAATATTTTTTAATAACCTATAAGGGAAAGAATCTGAAAAAGTGTGTATATATATATATGGATAACAATGAATCACTCTGCTGCACACCTGGAACTAACACAACATTGTAAATCAACTGTACTTCAAAAAAAAAAGTTATTTTCAAACTTAGAATAAATTGTGTTTCCCACCACAGTGGTGACCTGGTGACTCTTGAGTGTCACTCAGCCAGCATGATGATTTCTTTTGCGTTTCTTACATTTCCCTAGCACCTAGTATAGTACCTTGCACAAAGTAGGCACATCTTTTAAATCTAAATTTTATTTTGACAAAGTAAGCAATTAATTGACAGGTTGGTATGATTTTAGCCAGAAGGGACAGCTGACAGCAGCAAAGACACTAGACCTATTAAAAGCAAGCTAGTTTTGTCTGCTTTTGCACGTTTTTACAATGGCGGTCTGAAACCTTTTGGTGTTGGCAAAAGTATCACGAGAAAGCTCACCATCATCTAAGCTCACCATCTTCTGCTCTTCTAAGAAGTGCAGTATATTCAGCATATTTTAATGAGTATTGTAAGTGTTAATCCTGCATCTTCAGGAAAAGATGTTCTTCAATGTACCTTTTAAAGAAAAAATTTGTAACTTTTGAGAAGTTTCCATATAAAATGGTTAACATTTTAAAGGTTTGTATAATGCAGGGTTAGTTTGATTACATGGGAAGTTCACTTATGGACTATTTCATTGTCCAACAGTGTTGTTTAAATGAAGCACCGCTGTATTTATTGGCAGTATTTTACCATGGCTCTCATTTGGTAAGCCAAAGAGCTTGAGTAAAATGAGATATAAATGTTGTATTGAAAGCAGACCTTAGATATACTTAAAATTAAAACCTTTTATTTTCGTATACTTGTAGCATGCACTGTATGTCTACATATGTTCATGCTTAGAATTTTGAACACTTGTTTAAAATTTGATTTCTCATCAACAGTTTTATTTTATAGTAAGTTCTAGTAATTTTGCTCTTTCCTTAACATTCCCTGAAAATCCCATCTTACTTGAAACAATAGATTAAAACCAGACTGGCAGTTGGGGAACGCTTTCTATTGCAACCATGTGTGTCAGAAGAAAGGATTAGGTTTCCTTGACCAAGAACATCAAGGGGAACCTCCACCTCTGCAGACACACCTCTGTTCCTCAGTAATGGAGAGTGTATATCTAGTTAGATTTAAATGGGATAAGGAAAGAGTTTAAATCCACTCTTAGCTCTGGTAGTATAATCAGCCCTCCAGTCTCAAAGTATCCAATTTTGTTTCTCTAATTTAATTCTAAGTGTCAGGTTGGTATTAGATGCTGATCAAGGTAATGGAGAGTTACCCTACACATTTATTCACTTAAAGAAGAATTTTGCAGAATGCAAAGACTAGATGGCATCTATGTTCAAAACTTACTTGAAGCACAATCCATTCACCTCTGACCTTTCATTTATATTGAATATGTTTTTCAAGTACAGAGGGAGAGATTCCACAATGAAGGCAAACCTTTTGCTTCATAATCTAGGGTACAGCCACAGTTCTCTGGCCATACTGTCTTATGCTGGACTCATTGTGACTTAAATCAAACTGAGGCAGAGTCTCCTTTAGAGTGAGATAGTTTCCAAGAGTCACTAAAATACATGGGAAACAAAAATAATGATTTGGAGATTGTTCTTTTACACCTTTGGCTTAATTCTAGTTCTACCCCTCATTTTATATTTGATGAAACTGGTCCAGAGATATTAAGTACCTTAATGAAAAATCACACAGCAAATAAGAGCAGGAATAGGAAGGACTTTGATCTCCAGATGAGTGCTCTACTTTAAGTGACTCCACTGTAAAGCTGAAGGAGCTAAGGCTGGGGCTGGTCCAAGCAAGGAACAGTTTGACCTAAGGGCACATCCTTGTCATGCTTCAAAGTCAGAGCAACTAAATGGCTGAGTTTTAAAGGGTTGATGCTCTCATCTCTCCACCCCTAACATTAAAAGATGCTGTTTTTCCCTAGTAATTTTTGGGGAAATGCAAATTGTAGCATCTTCTTTGTATGAGGGTAGTAATCAGGAGGCTTATCTGGTCTTTGGGAAGGCTACTTAGGTGCTTGAAGGGTGGCATTACTATCACTTTTTTCCTGGAAGGTAAAAAAATAAAATCAAGGGAGAGGCTGGGTGATGTGGATAGCAAAGTAGAATTTTTCTCGGAGTACCTTTTTCTTAAAATTAAGGGCCAATTCCATAGTCTTTTCTAGATTAGCCTTCTTACCTTAAGGACTCTTTCCTACTCCACAACAATGAAGACATTTTGATCAGGGTTGGGAGAAGGTGGTGAGGATGGGGAAAGCCAGAGCAGACATAAGTGAATAATTTAGTTATTGATCTTCAGACAGCTGACTCCATTACTTGTAGAATCCTTTGTGTGTAGTACCAGGAAGAAGACTGATTATATGGGGGAGTTGCAGGCCCTGGGATTCCTGTTCATTTTTCATGTTTTCTCTCCATACTCTTTTTCAAACTGCTTTTCAACATTAGAATACAGATCTTCAAAGAAGACAGAGAATTGCTGCCTTATTTAAGTATGGATCTAGAATGGAGAGCATAATTTTGGAGGAATGTAAGAGATTTTTTTCAATGTCCCCCATCCCCACTGTCCACCCGCAGTCTTAGGACATATGTTCCATGGAGGAAATGGAGCTTAGCAATGAGCAAATTAAAGTTTTGCAGGGACATCTTACTTTGTTATCTCTCTTTGCATGCCATATCTTTTCCAGGTGGTATGGCCCTAAAGACAAGATCCATATGTTATCTGCACACTCATGCTATTTTTTTTTTTTTTATTTTTTTTTATTTTTTTTGCGGTACGCAGGCCTCCCACTGCCGTGACCCCTCCCGCTGGGGAGCACAGGCTCCGGACGCGCAGGCTCAGCGGTCGTGGCTCACGGGCCCAAACGCTCTGCGGCACGTGGGATCCTCCGGGACCGGGGCACGAACCCGCGTCCCCTGCATCGGCAGGCGGACTCCCAACCACTGCGCCACCAGGGAAGCCCACTCATGCTATTTTTAAATTACCACCCTTTGCTCTCAGCTACTTCAAAACTAGGGTGATTAGGCTTCCCTCTTCTGGATTTATGTTTTACAAAAAGAACTATAGCAAGGTCTTCAAAAAGCTTCCTGAGTGTCTTTAGATAAGCTGTTTTCTCTTTTGTCTATGTAATCAAACTACATCAGATTCCTGCCCACTCTGTACCTGTCTGGTGTGATTCTAGGATCCTAGCTGTGACCACTGAAAGTCAGACATAATCC